AAATATTCCAAAATATCCTCGAACAGAAGTTCGATTATTTAACAATCTATATAATTATCTGCAGTTGAAGTTCATTTAAAGGAATTTTAAATGAAATTCCAATATAGTTTCATCCAAGGAAGCTTAATGAGCTTGCACCCCTAGGGGGGACGTAGATTCGAAGGTAACCACCCCTTACTTCGCTCTTCAAATTTTCTACGATTTAAAAATCGATCTGCATTTCATGAATCATATTTAGATCTTCGAATCTCTTTTCCTAAAATTAGAATTACGTCTATGGGGGTTTCTAGACATGTAATAATTCGGTTTCGAAATTCCCTCGAATTTATCCTAATAATATTACGCACCTCACATTCATCCTCAAATGAGTGAACAGAGATGAACAGATATTCAAAAAATTTTTGAATAGAAGTTCAATTATTTAACAATCTATATAATTATCTGCACTCGAAGTTATTTCAAAGGAATTCTAGGATTTCAATACAGTTTCATCCAATGAGGCTTAAAGAGCTTACACCCTTAGGGTGGATGATGATTCAAAAGTATGTACCCTCTTACCTCGATCTTCCAATTTTCTACGATTCCAAAATTCATTTGAATAGCATGTTTCACATTCAGGATTTCGAATCTTTTTTCCCAAAATTAGAATTACACATATGAAGGTCCTTAACACTAAAACTACCAATCCAGTGAAAATGACTGGTCTCAGAATTTTCCTTTTTGCAATCACCAAACACATACACCTGCTTTAAGAATAAAATTGGTATCAACTCGTATTAAGAAAGAACTGTAATCGATATATTCACTCGTATTCATCGTATCGCTGAAATTACTATAATCAGTGCACGTTATAGTTAGGTACCCATTAAAGATCGGTAGTTCTAGTGTTAAATTTATAACAATTCGGTTTGGAAACTCCCTCGAATTTATCTCAATAATATTAGGTGAAGTAAAAAGAAATCCATTACTTTTGCATTCAATTTCATGCAAAAATAATGGATTTCTTTTTACTACATTTAACCCTTTGCACTCGAGAGGCGAGCTTCAGTCACCATTTCATAAGATTTGGAAGATCGATATTAATTAATATATCAAATTTAATGTAATGCAACAGTGTGCGAGGTATCGAAATCAAATAATTCTACAATTCTATTATTATACAATTCTTTATTTACTGCTCAAAAAATTATCGTTAGTCTTTTAGTAGAGAATCTTTGATTTTCTACTCTTGTCTAGCCAAAAATTCGTCGAGTGCAAAGAGTTAATCTAATTAAAGACGAAGTAAGTTGACAATATTTGCCACCACCTGAATATTCCAGTATTTGTATTTATAAAAAGAAATCCATTATTTTTGCATTCAATTTCATGCAAAAATAATGGATTTCTTTTTGCTTCATCTAATATTACACGCTCCACATTCACTCTGAAACGAGTAAACAAAAATAAATGAATACTGGAAAAGATCCTCGAACAGAAGTTCAGTTATTTAACGATACGCATAACGATCTGCACTCGAAGAGCTCTCCTCGATTCGAATAGAGTTCCATGAATGGTCTGCAGAGCTGTGCAATTGGCGAACGAAGCCACCACCGACAACCCTTGTCAACCGAGGCGGCTGTTTATTATTCCTCGCGTAATCGCACTGAACGTACGCGGAATTGCACGGAGGCGGCGCGTGCGTGAATGCGTGGCCGTGTGGTGCGTGGTAGGCGCCAAGAGATACCGAGGCGCCTTCTTAATTGTGGGAAAGCGGCGCCGGCGTCTGGAGGGCCCGCGTCGTGTGAAGCCGCCGCGCCCCGAGACGCACGATTTTTAAACAATTCCACGTCCAGAATGCGCTTTTTCCGGGAAATTCTGGAAAATCTCGGATATTTTTTCCGCGCCGCAAAAACTACCAATCCAGCGAAAATGACTGGTCTCAGAATTTTCCTTTTTGCAATCACCAAACACATACACCTGCTTTAAGAATAAAATTGGTATCAACTCGTATTAAGAAAGAACTGTAATCGATATATTCACTCGTATTCATCGTATCGCTGAAATTACTATAATCAGTGCACGTTATAGTTAGGTACCCATTAAAGATCGGTAGTTCTAGTGTTAAATTTATAACAATTCGGTTTGGAAACTCCCTCGAATTTATCTCAATAATATTAGGTGAAGTAAAAAGAAATCCATTACTTTTGCATTCAATTTCATGCAAAAATAATGGATTTCTTTTTACTACATTTAACCCTTTGCACTCGAGAGGCGAGCTTCAGTCACCATTTCATAAGATTTGGAAGATCGATATTAATTAATATATCAAATTTAATGTAATGCAACAGTGTGCGAGGTATCGAAATCAAATAATTCTACAATTCTATTATTATACAATTCTTTATTTACTGCTCAAAAAATTA